CTATTCGATCATCAAATTGTTCATCCCAAAGTTTTGTATAAAGGAGGCGTGTTCTCTTTTGATGAATCTTTAGAAGGGCCCAATTACAATTGCAGCATATGGGGTCCGACGTGTGATTCAATTGACTGCATTACTAAAAATGGATTTCTTCCCGAATTATTGCCCGGTGACTGGCTGTATTTCGAGGAGATGGGCGCATATACTATTTGCGCTGCCTCTCAGTTTAACGGATTCAAGAAGAGTGAAGTCCTTTACACTACCACTGATCCTCATGTGCTATCCATTCTTCACGAAAGTTTTTACCCAAATCATGGCTAAAAAGGTCGATGATTTGTTTCGCATCTCTTATGCTTAAATCACGTTCTCGTAAAACCTAAAGACAGAATATTATTACATTTTAAATGCGTTGTTTAAATTTCTTTGAGGTTATTTTATAGATTATTCTCAGTCATTAGGAACTAGTCGTTTTAAGTTATGAATTTTTTGTAATGCGTAATTTCAGATTACTCTTTGGTGATTAAAAATGTACATTTAAGTTAGAATTTTGTACAATTAAAAGTATTCATAATTTAATATAGAATTAATGACATAAAAACTCGAGGTAAAAGGAAAAAAATGTAAATAATAGCTAACACCCTCATATGTACTCGCTGATTATTATTGCAGTATCTTATCGCAATTAAATTATATTTAATTAGTCCAGAGCCCTATAGTTGGTTAATTTTTTATTTGTTTTATTACGTGACATCGATCACATTTTTCTATAATCAAATAGTTTATTATTATGTAAACAGGCATTAAATGCAAGAAATTTATTAAACTTAGTTTATAGTCATTGCATTAAGAATCCTATATCATTTATTTTGTGGGAGTTAATTCTAACCTATTGCATTGTCAATTCAACTATACAAACTTTGTATTATTTGAATGGGTTTATATATTAAATAGAATAAATTCAAGGAATAAAAAATTCTATTACTAGTTTAAACCCATCTTCTTGCTAGGTCTAGATTTGGCAACCTTGTGACTGCTTGCAATTAGAAAGCATGTACCTTACAGGATTAATTAAAACATTTGAATAATTAGTTCAATACTTTTTATCTAGAATCTTAAAAAAGATATTATACTTTTTATTATTACTTATGGTTTTAAATTTTTTTTTATCAAGTTTTTTTTCTTTTAAGCAACATTAGATTGGAATAGCCCTAGGCTAGAGTGTTTTTGTAATACTATAGAATTGTTATGTCAAAAAGTTGTAAACTTTTTATTAAAGTTAGACTAAAAGCCTTTTCTTATGCAATTTTTTTTATTTTGACTATTTTTAATCCATAATCGTCAAAAAAACCAAAGGTCATATCTTCATACAACCTAACTAAATTTGATCAAAATTCTGATATTTTAAATATGACATTTATAAGAAAACCAGTAAATTCATAAATAAAGAATAATTTTATATGTTTTGCTTTCTATAGGTATTAAACTAAAGATATATATTTGAAGATTAGGAAATACTACTCACTATATTATTAATAAAGATGGGCCCCTAAATTAAAGGCAAGGATATAATTTAAATGTCTTTTATTATTAAAAAAGTTTTTTTAAAAAATATAAAATTAAAAAAAAACTATTTATAAAGGTTTTTTGCAATTTAGATTATTTGATCCAAATGTTTTTTGAATTACAATATATCCCTATTAAAATAATAAATAAATAATTATATTCCATCAAAAGGAACATAATTGATCTGTGAAATTTTATATACTAAATAATTTAGGAGTCCATCTTTAATTATTAATTCACTGGTTGTTTATTTAATCTTTATAAAAAAATTTTTTTTTTTTTTTTTTTTAACGGGTAGCTTACACCTTGTTTATTGAATATTGGTTTGAGTATATACAACTTTGTA